TAGAGACGGGGTTTCACCATGTTGACCAGGATGGTCTCGATCTCTTGACCTCGTGATCCACCCGCCTCGGCCTCCCAAAGTGCTGGGATTACAGGCTTGAGCCACCGCGCCCGGCCTCCCACTTTTATTTTTGAGGAAGGATCTTGCTCTGTTGCCTAGACTGGAGTGCAGTGGTACCATCATGGCTAACTGGGGTCTCAACCTCCTGGGATCAAGCGATCCTCCTGTCTAAGCATCCCGAGTAGCTGGGACTACAGGCACATGCCAGCACATCCAACTAATTTATTTTCTTTTTTATAGACAGGGTCTCTCTTTTTTGCCCAAACTGGTTTCAAACTCCTGGCCTCAAGCAGTCCTCCTTCCTCGGCCTTCCAAAGTGTTGGGATTACAGGCATGAGCCAGAGCACCCAGCCTCTGCGGATGTTTTAAAAAATTCATATTGTTTATTGATCTGAGATGTATATTATGATTTAAGCCAGATTGGATCATATTATTATAAAGGATGTGCTTTCCCCAGGGTGTGGTGAGTCTGGAAGTGGCCCTTGCATTCTTGGGGGTGGGGCAGGTGTTGAAAAAACAGCTGCAGCCACTCCCAGCCTTCCTGTAATTTGTGTCTCTTGCAGGTGGAGGCCGTCATGGCAGAACTGAGTCTGAGCCATGTGGCAGACCGACTGATTGGCAACTACAATTTGGGTGGCATTTCCATCGGTGAGCGGCGCCGGGTCTCCATCGCAGCCCAGCTGCTCCAGGATCCCAGTAAGTGACGCCCAGAACTGTTACGAGCCACTGTCTGGGCATCTTCTGTGTGTCTGCAGACACTTTGGGCCCTTTCTTCACAGTCCTCATTCGGGAAGGGGGTCGCGTGCAACTGAAATCACAGGTTTTTCAAACTAGGGGCCCGTTTTTTTTGAAATGCTGTATAGCTCATTTCCCGATGTGATTCCATCATCCAAACAAAACAGCTCTTGGACTAAGAAGCATTGCATTGGTGTTGCAGTGTTCCCCACCGGAGTCTTCCATGAATACAGAGCCTTGGCTGGCCAATTGCTTCTTCTTACCAGGGCAATACCACTGTGTGGGCTGGGGAAAGCCAGTGAGTTTTGGTATGACCACAGGTGTTCATGAAATGGCAGGAATTAAAATAGGAATTTGAATAATACACTCAAAAGTGTTTATGTTGTGGGGAAGGGAGTGTCAAAACAGAGTAGTCGATCCTCTGCCTGGTTTGGTCATTTTCCCTATCGCCTGGGGAACCCTCGCCACTCATATGCAGTGGAGAGGGCAGACTGCATCTAGATCCTTTCTTTGCACTGTGGCAGACCAGGGCTGCCTGTTCTTCAGATGGTGGTTTGTCACTAGAAGGCAGGTAGAGGTGTTTTTAAGAGCCCTTGTCACTTTTTTTTTTTTTTTTTCTTTTTGAGATGGAGTCTCTTTCTTGTCGCCCAGGCTGGAGTGCAGTGGCACGATCTCGGCTCACTGCAACCTCTGCCTCCTGGTTCAAGTGATTCTCCTGCCTTAGCCTCCTGAGTAGCTGGGATTATAGGCACCCGCCACCATGCCCAGCTAACTTTTGTACTTTTAGTAGAGACGAGGTTTCACCATGTTGGCCAGGCTGGTCTTGAACTCCTGACCTCAAGTGATCTGCCATCTGCCTGCCTTGGCCTCTCAAAGTGCTGGGATTACAGGCATGAGCCACCACACCCAGCCCCCTTGTCATTTTTTAGGTAGAAATAAGTTACTTTAAACCCTCTAAAGAACTCAAATCCCTGCCACACTTCAGACCTTGTTTTATTGGTCAGATTTTTTTTTTTCCTGTGCAAAGACCCTGCTGGTGTTGGAAAGTGTTACAGACATGAAATGAGGTTATGTCTTTTTGACTAACCTCCACTCAGTCTTGTTTCAAAACAACTTCATGCCAGCCTGCCAGCCTTTGTTTCCTGGCAGGGTGCCCTGGGCAGAACCTAGTACCCTATGAGAGGCCTGATTTCCTTACTCCCTGTCCCCTGGAGGGTTTGAGCCCCACATGTGCTCCAGAGCTGGGAATTAGACCCTTCCAGGTCAGGTCCTTTCTCCTGAGCTCAGGCTGAAAGCCAGTTTCCATGTTTACTTCCCACTGCATACTGTTTGGATGGGGTGCAAATTCAGTAAGGGACAGTTGAGAATTCTGAGTTTGAAGCACAGAGCCCGGGCTCTACAGTGCCTCAGAAGTCTGGCCTGTCTTTGCTGGCAGAGGTCATGCTGTTTGATGAGCCGACCACAGGCCTAGACTGCATGACGGCTAATCAGATTGTCATCCTCCTGGTGGAACTGGCTCGCAGGAACCGAATTGTGGTCCTTACCATTCACCAGCCCCGTTCTGAGCTTTTTCAGGTAAGGGGTTCAACTTGTAAAGGCCGGGTCTATGGTGTGTTGAGCTGGGAATCGCAGGGGCAGGGGCGGGATTTGTGCAGTGGCCAGGCATGGTGGCTCACACTTGTAATTCAGCACTTTGGGAGGCAGAGGCAAGAGGATCACTTGAGGCCAGTAGGTTTGAGACCAACCTGGGCAATAAAGTGAGACCCTCCATCTCTTAAAAAAAAAAAAAAAAGAAAGAAAGAAAAAGATAAATGGGCCAGGCATGGTGGTACACACCTGTGGTCCCAGCTACTTGGGAAGCTGAGGTGACAGGATCACTTGAGCCCAGTAGGTCAAGCCTGCAGAAAGTCATGATCATGCCACTGCACTCTAGCCTGGGTGACAGAGCAAGACCTTGCCTCAGGAAAAAAAAAAAAAAAAAAAAAAGATTAGTGCTAGAGCAACTGAAGCCAACAGCTCCTAAGACAGGAAGAGCAAAGGATGAAAACTCACTTCTTTCAGCACCTACCATGTTCCACATACTTTCTGTACCTAGCTCATTTCATCTGCACAACACTCCTATGAGGTGTGTTTCAGCATATTCACCTTACAGAGGAAAAGAGTGAAACTTAGCAATGATTCAAAATTGATAGCCAGGCATGGTGGCATGTTCCTGTAAACCCAGCTATTCAAGAGGCTGAGGCAGAAGAATCACTTGAACCCAGGACGTTGCAGTGAGCCGGGATCGTGCCACTGCACTCTAACCTGGGTGACAGAGTGAGATTTCATCTCAAAAAAACAAACAAAAAAAACAAACAAAAAACAAATTGAGCCAAGATCACACAGCTATTAATAGTAAAAAGCTAGCATTAGGGTTTCACAGCCATATTGGCTTCGAAGGCTGTGTTTTTCCACTAAATCTTACAGATTTCTTTCCAAAAAAATCTCACTTCCTCCACCCAGTATCCCTTTAGTTAGCTATTATTTGCTTTTTATAGAGTAGAAGCTGAGATTTAAAATGAAAATAAAGAAACAAACTAAGACCCACCCCAGCTCACCTGAAGTCGCCCACATGGTGTGGCTGGGACTTAACCCAGGTCCAGTCATGCCTGTCTAACCCAGATATGACGCTGGGCCTCACGATGGAGGCAGCATAACCCACAGTGCTAGCCTAGGCTCACAAGGGTAGCGATGCACTTTGACTGTCTCCAGGAATACTGACGCAGGGCCAAGGCCATTGAAGGACTGACTGCTCGGAAGTGTATTTCCCATAAAGAGATGGTGACTATAAGGAATACTTGACCTTGGCCCTGCATCAGTATTCTTGGAGACATTCAAAGTACATTGCTGCTCTTGTGATCACACACTAACTACATCTGTTGTCTGATCAGCTCTTTGACAAAATTGCCATCCTGAGCTTCGGAGAGCTGGTTTTCTGTGGCACACCAGTGGAAATGCTTGATTTCTTCAATGACTGCGGTTACCCTTGTCCTGAACATTCAAACCCTTTTGACTTCTATAGTAAGTTTTTCTTTCACATTCCCCATTGTGAATGTTTTTAAACTTCTAATCTCAGATTCCTACCTGGATGACACCAGCACTAGT